AAATATCAAAAAATTTCTATATGTGACACGGCACCAGAGTTAAGTTAGGGTTTTTCAAAATGCTGACACGCCGAGCTCAAAAGGTTCGCCATCACTGAGCTAGGGGCTCCTGAGGGGAGTGAGCACGCCTTGCCCTCTGTGTTCCCCAGAACCGTCCACTCCGTTATGAATGCCTGCATTTACTTGTGGAATGAATGTTGGCTAAATAGGTTTTAAAAAGCAAGTCTGACCATGAAGAGAGAGGGAAAAAAAACCCACAAAACACCACAGAGTCCTTCCTTTAACAATGAAAGTGTGTTAAGTCATCAAGCCCGTTCCCACACCTTTTGGCTTTGGCTGCCAGTAGCTTTAAGGTCCTTCGGTGTCCAACTGCTACACCACCGTCCAGGCAGGAGGACTGGGAATGCCAGAGACACACTTCCGTGGTCGGCAAGGATCAGGGGAGGTCCCAGCGTCTTGTCCTGGTTGCTGGGGAGGTTGCAATCCAGCCTCCGGCTCCCCAGGCCTTCCCAGGGCCTGGCCCCTCCAGGGTGGCCCTGCCCTGCTGCTGCCCTGCGCAGGGCTTGTGTCTGCTCCCCTCTTCCCAGAGCCCTCAAGTCTGTGAGCCCCCCGCGGGCAGGGACCCAGCCGTGCGGGTCCGGGGCAGCCATCGGTGGGGTGGGGGGAGGCCGCCGCTGTCTGGAAGCCAGGAAGCCTCGTCGTCGTCGGAGGAAGCCGGCGGAGTTCTGGTATGGTTGCTGCAGCTGGTGTTGTGAATCAGGCCGACGAGCAGCGCATCCTCTTACCCGGCTATTTCACGACACCAGGGTTGCATCATACCCATCCTCTCCAGGGAGCCTCGTGGGACCAGCACTCGGACCTGGGGATGGGGTGGGGTGGGGAGTCTGTGTGAAAGAGTGTCCTTTTGGCGAGCAGGATCTCAGTCCTCCAGCTCCGAGGGGGAGCTTTCCAAAATGCTGACGTGGCCCCTCCGCCGGGTCCATAGAAGCTCCCGTCGGGGCCCGGGAACCAGCATTTGTGGGGGTGCCCCGTGAAGCTCAGATCCGTGTGCAGTCAGGGCTGAGCCCCAGGCCCCCCGATGAGGCTGCTGTCCTTGCTGCCTGTTGCCTCAGCCCCTCCGGCCCTCCCTGGCCAGTCCTATCTGCCTCGCCCTGCTCAGCACAGCACCACAGACCCCAGCAGCTTCGGGGAAACAGAAGGGATCCCACACCCCAGGCCCAGGGCAGGCTCCTTGCCTCCGCATTCCTGGCCCTTCTCTCCGGGTCCCCCACCCAGAAATGAGACCATTGCTTCCCCTGTGGCGTCCTCCCCGCTGCCTTGGTCTACAGAGCCCCCGCCCTACACGAATCCATGGGCTGGCTCTGTGGGCTCCGCCTTTAGAAGACATCTCAACGCCACCCCACCGCTTCTCAGCGACTGCCACCCACAGCTGCCCCCTGCCCTGGCCCCCGACTAGTCTTGCCTTGACCCTGCCTCCCTCAGTCCATTCCCCACACAATGGCCAAAGGGATCTTTGAAAAATATAAATCTGACCATCACACAAGAGAACATGGAACTTGTAACGCTGGCTGGAAGGCCCAATGCTCCCCCTCCCATGTGTCAGACCCGTCTCCTCCATCCCTCTGTTCCAACGACAGGAGCCCCAACCACACCACACTCCTGTCCCCGGGCCTTTGCACAGGCCCTTTCTCTGTCCCGACCCCCTGTGCTCAGACCTGCTTGCATGTGGGTGGCTTCTCATTGTTGGAGCTCAGCTCAATGTCTCATCTCAGAGGGGCCTGAATGCCCCTCCTCAAAAAATAAGCTGTTTTCTTCGTAGCACTTAATCGCTGACTGTATTACGATGATGATGGCTCCTCCATCTGCTGTCTGTGTCTCCCACTAGAATGTGAGCTCCAGGAGGGCAGGGCCTGCGTCTCGTCCCCCTAGTGCCTCTGCTGCCCAGCACAGGCTGTGCATGGTATGCAGTAAGCACTCAATAAATGTGTGTCAATGAAGAAACGATTGGACCCCTTTCAGCTTCATCTCCCACCATGTGGTCCCTCCTCTCACCCCACCCACCTCTTCCCTGGCACTGACCACGCCTTTCCCGAACCCTGTGCCCCAGAATCCCCTCCATCGGTGCCCAGCCTCTCCCCTCCCAGCTCCCCTCTCTCTCCTGGGCGCTGCCCTCCTCTGCCAGTTTGTCTGCCAGGCGAGGCTGTGCGTCCCAGGGCCTGGTATACAGGAGGGGCACAACCAAGGCTTAGGTGCCTCTGGGATGCTGGGATTCAGATGGGGCAGCAGGACCCCTGCCCTCACACTCCACATGCCAGAGCCCTGTGTCTAGGGTGTTCGCTTCTAGTGGTTTCCTGACTGGGAGGCTTTCTGGTTCCTTTGCTGCCCCTGTCCTCTGTCCTGAGAACCGGGAGGTGATGAAGGGACCCTCGCCGCTCGGCCAGGGGCGGGGGACCCCTGGACAGGTGAGCCCTGGCTGACAGGTGTGGGTGGCATTTCCACGGCCCACTGGGGTCAGGTAAGACTGAGAATGGAGACGGAGCCTGAGACCCCCCACGGCCCCGTCACAGGGTTTGCTCAGCCAGGTGCATCGGTTCCGAGTCCCGGGTCTCAGACCTGCGGGCTCTGGGGGGCCCCTTGCAGCTGAGGTCCTGGGACTTTCGTCTGACTCAACCCTGTGTCCCCATCAAAAAGAGGGTCTGAAAAAAAAAAAGCCTGGCCGGTGTTGCTCAGTGGTTGAGCATCAACCTATGAACCAGGTTCGATTCCTGGTCAGGGCACAGGCCCGGGTTGCGAGCTCAATCCCCAATGTGGGGCGTGCAGGAGGCAGCCGCTCAATGATTCTCTCTCATCATTGATGTTTCTATCTCTCTCTCCCTCTCCCTTCCTCTCTGAAATCAATAAAAATAAAATTAAATTTAAAAAAGCAGGTCTCCAATGAATGAGATTACAGCACATGCAGGAACCCCCTTTCTTGGGGTCTGTGGTTTGGCACAAGGGGCTCTTACAGTCCCTTCAGCTCGTTCTGTGGAGAAGCCCTTGGAGGGGGCCTGCTTAGACCCTTCCCGCCCCAGTGGGTTGTGGAGGGGCAGGGAATGCTCCTCGAAGCAGCAAACGTTCCCCTCCTGGGCTCGAAGGGACCTTGGGGCCGCCTGGCCTGGGCATTGCGGTGGGAGGAGGAGGTCACCGGGGTGACCCAGCAAATCTGCCCCTCACTCTGCCCACGGCCCCAGGGCTGCTGGAGACCTGCCTGCCCTTCCGGCCCCTCCTCTCCCCAGATCTCAATCGGAAATTTTCCACAGCTTCTGCAGGGACCAGGTGTGGGGGAATGGTGTAGGGCAGCTGCGAATTGCCAAGCAGGTGGCAGTTTAAGAGCAGAGCGAGGGGTTGATAAGATCTGCCCCGAGGCCCAGGGAGGGAATGAGTAACTGCCCCACCAGATGGCGTGGGGGTCGGAAGGTAGAACATTGACCATGATTGGGGTCCTGGCCCCAGTGGCTGCTGTCACGCGGCTGGGGACACGCTCCCGCAGAGGCCTCTCCGAGGAGGGGCTGGGACTCCCGGGAAGGGGGTAGGCAAGCTGGGGGGGTCACGAAGAGGAGCCCCTGAGAAGTCTTTTTAAAAAATTAACACATAAGGTCAATATACAAACTTTGTAAACAGTTTCACAGTGACCATATCCTGTGACCCTGAGCTCAGCCCCACGCCCGGCTGAACTGGGGTCCCCCCCCCCCAGGAGCTGCTCCTTGCACTGACCCCCACGTGGGGTGATTCTGTCCGCCAAGGGCTCCTGTGGTGGCCGGCTGCTCTCTGCCCTCCGTGGCCTGGTCCCCTCTGTTATTCACTCCAACAGGACCTACTCAGTGCTCTTTAGTTGCTGGGGGTCATCCGTGAACGTGACAGACCCAGATCTGTGCCCCTGAGGGCCAGCCTTCTAGCACGTTGGATGAAATGTCTGTCACCCTTCCCAGAAAAAGGCCCTTGGGTATAAAAATGTGCCCACAATTTTGTGGGGCTCCTGGGCTCCAGTTTAAGCATCTTGCCTTGGAGGGTGACTCCCTAACACAGCTGCTGCTCTAACACACCTGCAGCTGCCACCACCTGTCCTGGCTCGCAGCTGGCACACCTGTCCTGGCCCTCTGGACCGGGAGCAAGGGGCGAAGGTGAGCCCGCCGGGCCCTCTGCAAGTCCTCAGTCCACAGAGCTCACTTTGCTGCCGGAGACGTGGTGCCCCAGGGACTCTGGGCATCTCAGAGCTGGTCCTCTGGTGACCTCTGTGACCTCTGAGAACCCAGGTCTGAGAAGCAACGTTGGGAGGGAGAGAAAGTGTGTCCCTCCATGTCCCTCCCAAGGATGGCCCGAGCCTGAGCCTAAGCCCAGCTTAGATGCCTGGGGCTGGTGGTGGCCTTGAGGCCCCTGTTCATCCGCTGACCCTGGTCCAGGCTGCTCTCTCCTGTGGCCGCCCTCCCCGCACAGCCCGCCTGGTCAGTTTCCATTTCCCCCGAGTCAGTGGAGCCGTGAGCACAGGCACAGTGCCCGCCATCCACGTCCCCGGCTCCTGTCGCCACCCATGGTGGGGTGGGTGGGCTCTAAAGGTTTGTTGGGAGAATGGCTGACAGGGAGATCCGTGTTTTCTGTGAGTCTACAGGCCACCCAGGCCCAGGGAGCAAACGGACACAGGATTGAGTGTCCAGGGCGCCCCCAGGGAGGGCTCTGGGGTGGGGACCTCAGGGAGAAGGGAAGGAAGCAGGCTCAATAGGGGCGGAGGGGGCTGCCGTGTAGACACAAAGCCTCAGGCCGGCAGCTGGGAGCTGGGTGGGCCTTCCCCGCAGGGGCGGGGCATCAGGCCTTTACACCCAGCCCTCGGGGCCCAGGCGGGGCCCTACCTCCGCGATCACGTGGTGGGCAGGACTGAATGGGCACGTGCTCTGCTTCCCACCCAGTCCAGGGACCCTGCTCGCCTGCCCTGGGCGGTTTAGGCCAACCTCCCTGCCTCCCCCTGCTGCAGGCCCAGCCTATAAAGCCACCCTGCGTGTCCCCACCGACCCTGGCCCCCGCCCCTGCCACCCAGAGCCACCATGGCAGAGCTGCCGGGGTCGGAGACGCCGGGGGACCCCACGCTGTGCAGTGGGCGCTTTACCATTAGCACGCTGTTGGGGAGCGACGAGTCCCCACCGCCGGCTGCCTACGACAGCAGCCACCCCAGCCACCTGACCCACGGCAGCACCTTGTACATGCGAACCTTTGGCTACAACACTATTGACGTGGTACCGGCCTACGAGCACTATGCCAACAGCGCCCTGCCCGGCCAGCCCCGCAAGGTCCGGCCCACACTGGCCGACCTGCACTCCTTCCTTAAGGTAAGCATCGTCTCAGAAGATTGGTCGCTTCCCTGCTGTGTGACCTGACCCAGTTACCTGCCCTCTCTGAGCCTCGGCTCTGACACCTACGCCATGAGGATAAGTGTCTTCCTCGGGGGTCGAGAGGCCCAAACGAACCGTGGACATGGGAGTGGGAAGCTCTGGGTACATGTAATGGGCGTTGTTCAGTCATCGGCAACCCAATTAAGCCAACGAGGGCTGCCTAGAGAGGTAACGAGCTCCCCGTCCGTGGAAGCATGCAAATAGAGGTTGCACACACCTGAAAGAGATGGAGAGAGGAGAGAAGGAAGGTCTGCAGCAGAGAAGAGCCTTGCTGGGTTTGCTGCCTGGGAGGCTGGGCTGTGGAGGGTGGAGGGCTGGGAGCTGCAATGCTGTGACCCCTGCCTGCCTGCCTCACCGTGGTCTCTGGGCTCCCAGCAGGAAGGCAGTCACCTGCAGGCCCTGGCCTTTGACAGCCGGCCCAGCCATGACATGACGGACGGGCTGGTGGAGGATGAGGCGGGCGCCAGCGGCGAGAAGAGCCCGGGGGAGCCCGTGCGCTTTGGCTGGGTCAAGGGGGTGATGGTGAGTGGGGTGTAAACAGGATGTCCGGGAATGAGGGGGGGGGGCTCGAGCTCCGCCCAGCCTCAGCTCTGACCCTCAGGCCTTAGCGTCCGGGGCCCATCCTGTGCCTCGGTTACCCCATCTGCATCATGACCTCACATTTTCTCTGGTTTTGTGCTTCCTGGCAGACGAGCCCGGGACACTCCCCAGACGGAGACCTGGCCCTGGGGCAGATCTCTTTTTTGGTTACTTACTTGTCCTGTGACCTTGGACACGTTACTTAGCCTGTGTCTCAGTTTCCTTATTTGTGAAATAATTAGCATTAAACCGGTTAATGCAGTGGTTCTCAACCTTCTGGCCCTTTAAATACAGTTCCTCATGTTGTGACCCAACCATAAAATTATTTCCGTTGCTACTTCATAACTGTCATGTTGCTACTGTTACGAATCGTAATGTAAATGTCTGATATGCAGGATGGTCTTAGGCGACCCCTGTGAAAGGGTCGTTCGACCGCCAAAGGGGTCGCGACCCACAGGTTGAGAACCGCTGAGTTAATGGATGCGAAGTGTTTGGAGCCAGGCCTGCCGGGGAGATATTAGAAGAAATGGCACTTCCCCCAAAAGGCCACCAGAGGGCAGCACCGAACACACAAATCCACAAATGTGTTTTTCTCATTTTCCGTGATGGGAAGGGGGCAGGTTTGCTGTGGTGTAGTGCAACAGGAAGTCTCCAGACACCAAAGGATCAAGTGGACTTGGCTTTGGAAGACACTGTGGGACTATACGGAGGGGGTGGCATGAGATGTAAGAGAAAGCTTTATGCTGGGAGGCCGTGGGCCTGGTTCTGACCTTACCTCTGCCAAGCTGCCCGCTGGCTGTGCCCCTTTCCTCCGTTGGACCCGTCAGCACCCCGAGAGGCGCATATGGAGATTCTGGATCTCCCTCCCGGACTGTGGAGTCGTGGGCTGCAGAGCCCCACTCGGCCCGGCCTGGCCTGGCCCGTTCAGCAGCTCCGAGCGGATGGAGGGCCTTAGACCTCTCCCGCATGCCCTTGTCCCAGCCCAAGACTTGGCTGGGGCAGTACTTTCCACTGGGAATTTCAGCCTCAGCCAAGGCCTCTGGCTCTGTTTTAAAATTGGAAGCTGAAGTCACAGCCACTCGAGGCCTGATTTCTGCCTGTAGGTGGGGCATTGGCGCAGCTAGCGTTTGCTCATCTCCCCCTAAATGCCAGACCCTGCACCAACGGCTGGTCCTTGGGGCCATGGTTGGCGCTGCCAGACACAGGATCCCGGGCTTGGAGTAGGGGAGGGGTGGTGATGCTTGCGGCCCATCCTCAGGCCCCACTGAGAGGGCAGGAAAGTGGGTGGGCAGCCCCTCCTCCCTGCCCCACAAAACCAGAAGGGCATTGAAGTGGGTAAAGCAAAGAAAGGACCCAGATGTCCCCTAGCCCAGGTGCCTGAGGCCATGCCATGACTGGGGACAGGGACTTGTGTATTTGGCTTTGGGGTCTCTCTGTCCCCTCCAACTCCCACCCCCTGTGGCCTCTGACCCCCCTCTCCTCCCAGATCCGTTGCATGCTCAATATCTGGGGTGTGATCCTCTACCTGCGGCTCCCCTGGATTACTGCCCAGGCGGGCATTGGTGAGTGCCCTTGGCAGGGAGGGGAAGGTGTGGTTGAACGTGGGCTGCAGAGACCCTGGTCCCCTGCAGGGGCAGAGGGCAGGGTGGTGTGGCAGAGGAGCCCAGGACACGGAGTCAGCAGGCCCGAGGGCTCTCCCCCTCAGCAAGTCTCTTAACCTCTTGGAGCCAATTTTTGTACAGAGCATCCAGGTTAGAAGCTCAGACTCTGCACAGAACAGTGTTCAGATGCTAGCTCTGTGCCATGCTGTGTGACCTTGGACAAGTTTCTTAACATCTCTGAGCCTTGGTTTCCTCACCAGTAAAAGAGGGTAGTAACTGTCTCTACCTCACAGACCTGTTGTGGGGTTTCTATGATGCACATGAACAGCACAGGACTGGGCACCCAGAGGTGCTCATCAAATGGTAACTCTCACCTTGTTTTTTATCATTAAAGGAGGGTACCTTCCCTCCCATACCTAACGATCCTTTACATGTTGGCTCAGTAGCTCCCTTATAGACCAGGGAGGTAGGCAGAGACCCATTTTCCAGATGAGTAAACAGAGGCTCAGAGAAGGGCAGTGGTTGAAGTTACATGGTTTCTCACGTGGCTCCTTTACCTGGGAAATGCCCCGACTGAGTTTTGGGGTGACCACGTCCCCCCCCCCCCCCCCCCCCCCCCCCCCACAGTCCTGACCTGGATCATCATCCTGCTGTCGGTCACGGTGACCTCCATCACGGGCCTCTCCATCTCGGCCATCTCCACCAACGGCAAGGTCAAGTCAGGTGGGCCCCCACTCTTACCTTTCCCCACCCCCCTCCTCTTGTAGCTCCCCCAGTCTTCACCCTGGGAACGGTCTCTGAACCACTTCTCATCCCAACCCCAACTGGGGCACCCGAGGCTGCTCCTTCGGGCTCCAGGGGAGGGTTTGGGGCAAGCTCTGCACACCCACGGGGTGGCCTGGGGTATTTCCTGCGCCATGGTCCCCTGGAGCCCGTGGTCCCCTCTCCCAGCCACCGCTTCTGCCACCCCCGCCAGCTCACTCCGCGGGGTTCATGGCTCCTGGCTCTGTCCCCCGTAGGTGGCACCTACTTCCTCATCTCCCGGAGCCTTGGCCCAGAGCTGGGGGGCTCCATCGGCCTCATTTTTGCCTTCGCCAACGCTGTGGGTGTGGCCATGCACACGGTGGGCTTCGCTGAGACCGTGCGGGACCTGATCCAGGTGAGGCCAGGGCTGAGCCCGGGCAGAGGGAGCCCACCGCCTCTCGGTCTCCTTCACCCGCTCTGGGCTGGGCCTTCCTCGGCCCAATCGGCCCATCAGGCACCACGACCCCAGTGTGATGGCTGTGGGTGACCGTGACAAGCCCATCAAAGAAAGGCCATCCCCAGAAGTCCCCTTCGGGCTGCGTGCTGCCTGGAGGGCCACTTGCCCAGGCCCTCAGCAGCTGTTCTGGGGGGTCTATTGGCAGGGAAGGTGTTTGGGTCTGTGTCGTCCTGGGAGAGGTCACCTGAATGAGGTGACGCAGGTGGAGGAGTCTGGGTGGGGTGCTCAGAGGGCAGCACGCAGCCGGCCTGTCCCCCCACCCCCAGGAGTATGGCTCGCCCATCGTGGACCCCGTCAACGACATCCGAATCATCGGCGTGGTCACCGTCACCGTGCTGCTGGCCATCTCCCTGGCTGGCATGGAGTGGGAGTCCAAGGTGAGGACTGGATGTTGGAGAGGGGGCCTGGGGGTGTCACGTGGGCATCATGGGAGCAGGGCACCGGTCCTGCTCCTGGTTCTGCCTCTTCTTCTTCTTCTTCTTTTTTTATTTTATTTTTTTAAATATATTTTATTGATTTTTTACAGAGAGGAAGGGAGAAAGGTCCATGCCCTTGGCTGGAATCGAACCCGGGACCCCTCAGTCCGCAGGCTGACGCTCTATCCACTGAGCCAAACCGGTTCGGGCTCTTCTTCTTTTTTTTAAAAATAATATATGTTTTTATTGATTTCAGAGAGAGGAAGGGAGGAGAGAGAGATGGAAACATCAATGATGCGAGACAATCATTGATGGGCTGCCTCCTGCACGATTGAGACTGTAACCCAGGCATTGCCCTTGACTGGGAATCGAACCATGGCCTCCTGGCTCCTAGGTCGACGCTCAACCACTGAGCCACACGCCTGGGTCTACCTCTTCTTATCTGTATTAGCAAGGCTTTAAGATCTGCCTGGGTGACAGAGACCCTATGGGAGGGGCCTTAAACAAGAGGCGTTCATTTCTCTCTCTTCCAACAGCCCAGGTGTCCCTGGTTCCTGGGGCTCAGGTACCCAGACTCCTTCCCTCCTATGGCCTCTCCACCCCTGGGGTGTGACCTTCATCCAGGGTCCATGAGGGCCACCACCACCACGCCCACAGTCCAGGCAGCAGGAAGGGAAATATCCCTTCCCCTCATATCCCACCGGCCAGAACTCGGACTCATGGCCACCCCTGGCAGCAGGGGCGCTGGGGCAACGTGGTCTTTCATTTGAACCCCTCTCCAGCCAGCAGTCAGAGGGTTAGCACTGGGAAATGGGGGAGGACAGATGTTGGGCGACAGCTGGCAGACCTGGCCCCCACCTTCTCTCCTCTCTCCCCCTCGCTCTGACCTCCAGCTACACTGGCCTCCTCGCCGCCCCTTGAGTGCACCAAGCTTCGCCCCATCGCCCTCTCCTCAGGACCCTCGAAGACCCCTTTCCAGGCCTCCCTGCTCAAGTAGCCCCCGACCCAGTCCCCATCACAGCCCTGCTCTCGCTCTAGATTCATGTTCCCTCTCTCTCAGCAAGATAAGAGCCCTGCGAGAGCATCAAGTCCTGAAGAGAGCCTGCAGCGTGATGATGAATGAATGAATGTGTGAATGAATGAGTGAATGAATGAGAGAGAGACAGAGACAGAGAGAGAGAGAGAGAGAGAGAGACCTTGAGCAGGCTCTTCCCTGCTGGGGTGCCCTCAAGAGGGGGGGCCAGGCCATCTGATCTCTTGGTCCTTTACCGCCAGGCCCAGGTGCTCTTCTTCATGGTCATCATGGTCTCTTTTGCCAACTACTTGGTGGGGACGCTGATCCCCCCGTCTGAGGACAAGGCCTCCAGGGGCTTCTTCAGCTACCGGGGTACGTGCAGGTTGGGGCCCCTACTTATGGGGACAGGGACAGGCTGCCCACCCGTCTGCCTGTTCTGTGGGCACCAGGAGGAGGGGATCCCCGACTCCACGGCCAGGAGCGGCCATTGGAATGCCCTCCCTTCCCGGCTGGGCCCCGTGAGGGGGCGGAGCCCTGACGCAGGCCCTGGCTTTCTAGGGGACATTTTTGTCCAGAACTTGGTGCCCGACTGGCGGGGCCCGGACGGCAGCTTCTTCGGGATGTTCTCCATCTTCTTCCCCTCGGCCACAGGCATCCTGGCGGGGGCCAACATCTCCGGGGACCTCAAGGTGAGCAGCCCGCCCGCCCTCCCTCTTCCCGGCCCTGCCTCCCAGGGTCTCCCCCTGGGCACTAGGCTTGACACCAGGGACTGAACTTCTAAACGCCAGTCCAGTCCAACACAACGCAATCCAAGCCAATGCCACTCACTCCGCTCAGTTCTCAGGTTGTCGGTTGGCATCAGTGGCACCCTAGGCCTTGAGGGCCACCCCCCCAAATGGGCTAGTGTCCTCCCTCACTCCTGGGAGTCAGCCTAAGGGGAAGACGGACCCTCTGGCCTTCCACAACGCGGGCCGGATCCCGCAGCTCTTTGCTGGGCTGACATCCTCCCAGGGCCCTCGGCTGTCCTGATGCAGGCAGGCTCCTCAGCCCGGTGTTCAAGGTCAATGTCGCCACAGCCATGACCCCGCCCCAGCCCAAGATCTGCTGCTTTGCTGTGTTGCCCTGTCCCCCTTCCCCCCCTCGCCTTTGCCTCTGCTCTCTGGGACTCCCTACCCTTGTTTCTTTACCTCACAAAGTCTGTTCCTCTTCCATTTTTTAAAAAAAATATTTTTATTGATTTCTGAGAGGAAGGGAGAGATAGAAACATCAATGATGAGAGAGACGCATTGATTGGTTGCCTCCTGCACGCACACTGACCAGGGCCGGAGATCGAGCCGGTAACTGAGGTACGTGACCTTGACCACAATCGAACCCAGGACCCTTCAGTCCGCAGGTCGACGTTCTGTCCACTGAGCCAAACCAGCGAGGGCCAGTCTGTTCCTCTTTCAAATAACACCTCCATCCTTACATCTGTCCCTGCCCCCCGGCAGCATCGGGGCCCAGCGTAATGTCAGGGCTCTATTGTCCCTGGAGGACTGAGGCCTACCTCTGCGTCTCTGTCCGGCTAATGGTCAGGCACATACAAGGGGCTCAGTACAGGTTTGTCGAGCGAACAGTGGTGAAACATAGCAAATGAGAGGTGTGAGCGGATGTACCTGCCTCCTGCCGGTGCCTGTGGCTACAGCCAAAACATAAAACAGACCAGCATGGAGCTGGTTGGAGGTTGTCTCCCCGCTTGGGGCTCCCAGGGCCCTGAATGAGGTCTCAGCCCTGTGACCTTGGTTGTGGCCTGTCCTGGAAGCCCCCAATTGCAAAGTCCCTTTTCCTCTGGGCCCCGTCCTGAGCCTCAGACAAGGGCAGGGGCTGGAATCGCTGATGCCGGCTCTGCCTCCCGCCCAGGACCCTGCCATCGCCATCCCCAAGGGGACACTCATGGCCATCTTCTGGACCACCGTCTCCTACCTGGCCATCTCGGCCACCATCGGTAAGTAGCGGCCAGAGGGTGGGGGGTCACAGCGTGGGGTTCAGATCTCTAACAGGGAGAGCTAGGCTGGGAGGACTTTGCAACCCCAAGAAGTAGAGGCTTAGACCTTATTTTTATTTTATTTTATATTTATTTATCAATAACATATATATTATTGATTTCAGAGAGGAAGGGAGAGGGAGAGAGAGATAGAAACATCAATGATGAGAGAGAATCATGGATCGGCTGCCTCCTGCATGCCCCACACTGGGGATCCAGCCCACAACCTGGGCATGTGCCCTGACCAGGAATCGAACCATGACCTCCTGGTTCATGGGTCAACCCTCAACCACTGAGCCACGGCGGCCCGGAGTGGACCTTCTTTTGAGGGCACCTGGTGGAGACCAGAACATCTCCATGGGGGGAGGGTCAGACCAGGCCTTTCGGTTCCTTCAAGTCCGAGGTTACAGATCCCAGGGTGTGGAAACCATGTTCCGACGACAGGAATAACAATGTCATCGGCGAGGAGACCGTTCCTGTCCTCATGAGGGAAAGATTTCAGTCGAGAGACAAAGTGTAGGAGAGCAAGTGAGGAGGTATTGGCCACAGCAAAGACAGAAAGCGGTGGAGCCGGGCTCGGACCCAGCCCGAGCTGCAGTCACCTGTCTCTCCCGGAGATCCCCACGGGGGTTCCTGCTCCTTGTGAGGGAAGCTACTCACCGATGACCGAGGGACTCAGGCCAGGTCACAGCCAGGCAGGTCTGAGGCCCGGGCCTCCGCTTTAAGGAGGACATTGGGGCCTTAGAGAGGTCACCTGAGCGCGCTGTGCTTCTGCAGCGAGACAATAAAAGTACTAGCACACAGTAGGTGCTCCTGTGTGTTAGCTGGTATCAGACTGAGGACACTATTATTATTATTATTATTATTATTATTATTATGACATCGTCATGTTGCATCAGCAGCATCTCCCTCCCTGCAGAAGTGGCCGGCATTTTGGGGGTGGGACAGCGGAGAGCAGGGGAAGGGAGCAGACCTCCCCAGGCCCTGCCTCCTCCTCAGGCTCCTGCGTGGTTCGGGACGCCTCCGGGAACCTGAATGACACGGTGACCCCGGGCCTGGGCGCCTGCGAGGGGCTGGCCTGCGGCTACGGCTGGAACTTCACCGAGTGCGCCCAGCAGCACAACTGCCACTACGGCCTCATCAACTACTACCAGGTGCCCGGGCCCCACGGGACACAGGGGTGCCGAGGACAGACACGGTTTGGGGGGCTGGGGTCCAGGCATGGGGGGAAGAGGTTTGGGCTCAGTCCCTGCCTGGGTGGACACTGGGATCCCGGCGGATGGTTGTGGACTCAGATGGAGGCGCCAGGACCCAGCGCTTGTGAGAAGAGGCGGATGGGGGATGCCCCAGGTGGGGGCTCTGGGCCCGTCCCCCCACCATGCCTGCCTGAACCCCGTGTCCCTGCAGACTATGAGCATGGTATCCGGCTTCGCACCCCTGATCACAGCCGGCATCTTTGGGGCCACCCTCTCCTCTGCCCTGGCCTGCCTCGTCTCGGCCGCCAAAGTCTTCCAGGTGAGGCTGCGGAAAGGGGGTGGTCAGGACCCAGAAGCCAGGTCCGGAGGGAGCAAGCAGGACGGGGTCCAGGCGGCTGCAGGGGAGAGGCGGGAGAGGAAGGAAGGAGGGGTCCCGGCCACAGGCTGAGCGCGTGTCCTGTGCCCGCAGTGCCTGTGCGAGGACCAGCTGTACCCTCTGATCGGCTTCTTCGGCAAGGGCTACGGCAAGAACAAGGAGCCGATCCGCGGCTACCTGCTGGCCTACGCCATTGCCGTGGCCTTCATCATCATCGGTGAGCGGCTGCCGGGGTCCGGGGGCCCCGGGGCAGGGCTCCTTTCCCTGCTGCTCACCGTGTGCCCAGTGCCCAGCCAGCCTGGCAGGTGTCGGTGTAAGAAACAGGGGTGCATTGGCTGTGCCCTGAGGGGGCAGCCCACCCTGATTTGAATTTGATGTCCTTTTATCTGGGGGGTCTGAGAGGACTTCAGACTGAGGACATGAACTCAGAGGCCCTGGGGCGGGGCTCCTGTGGCCTTTCAGTGGAGTCACGTGCAGACAGGGTGCTTGTCTTGTTTGGGGATCCCCAGAAGCAGGCCCCGAGACAAGGATTCGCATGCAGTGTGCCCAGGGATGCAGGGGGCGGTCCTTGAGCGGCTTCCACTGTAGGGAGACTGTGATACGGTCTCAGGGCTTCAGATCAAAGATGACGTGAGTCTTGGGTCACGTTGTGAAATGTATTTCTTATCGTAATTTGTGGTCACACAACAGCGGTGACAGCCCCTGTCCCCGGTCACCCCATCTCGGGATGGGGTCCACTCTCACGTGGCTCTCCATCTCCTGAAAAGCTGGCACTTGACAGTTTACAAAACATTGGCCCTTTGAGCTCCACCAAATGCTGGGCCCATTCCACAGATGAGAAGGGGGAGACTCGCTGAGCCTCAGAGGCCTGCCTGGGCTGCCCCCCACTTTGAGGGTGGTGCCAGGTGGCTGCTTGGCAGAGTTGCCCAACAGGCCGTCCTCTCTCTCCCTGGGTCCCTGAAGCCGAGCTCAACACCATCGCCCCCATCATCTCCAACTTCTTCCTGTGCTCCTACGCCCTCATCAACTTCAGCTGCTTCCACGCCTCCATCACCAACTCACCCGGTGAGCAGCCCCTCACCCTCCGCGGAGGCGGCACTTGGGGCTCAGGGATGGAGTGGGTGGGGGGTGATGGGAGGCATGGATACAGGTGGGCAGACCAAGGTCACCTCTCAAATCCAAACCAATGAAAAGCACCATTTAAATACTAGTAGCAGCCATCCTCTAGCAAGCCCTACAGCGTACACCGTCGTGGGTAAATGCACCGCTGACGGCACGCAGAGGGTTTCCTAGGACCTTCCTCAGCCAGTCTTACCGGAGTCCGTGGTCTGATCCCCAGAAAAAGACGAGAATTGGCCCAGGCCACAGACGGGGTTGCTGCAGGTTGCACAGTGCACACCTCCAGGGGCACCCCTCACAGGTGTCAGAGATGTGAATGCTTATTATGAGCATTTTCTGGCCGATGGCAGTAAAGAGTCTCCAGGAAGACTTTTGCTAATTAGCCCCCCGTTGCCGATGCGCTGGTCGCCGGGCAGCCTTCTCTATAGACCATGGGCCATGGTGCCCCAGCCTGGTGCCCGGGGTGGCTGTCGCTCGCGGTGGCCCTGGATGGGCCGCAGTGGGGAGCCAGGCAGAGCACATCCTTGCTCTCCACCTCACCTCGGCTCGGCCCAGCCGTGGGAGCCGTGCTATTGCTGACGCTGACGTCTTGTGGCCGCCTCCTCGGTGTCGCCTGCTGACGTGGC